AAGGAAGGAAAGAGGGAAGGAAGGGAAAGGAAGGAAGGAAGGAAGGGAAAGGAAGGAAGGAAAGAGGGAAGGAAGGGAAAGGAAGGAAGGAAGGAGGGAAGGAAGGGAAAGGAAAGAAGGAAGAGGAAGGAAGGAAGGAAGGGAAGGAAGGAAAGAAGGGAAAGGAAGGAAGAAAGGAATGGGAAAGGAAGGAAGGAAGGAGGGAAGGAAGGGAAAGGAAAGAAGGAAGAGGAAGGAAGGAAGGAAGGGAAGGAAGGAAAGAAGGGAAAGGAAGGAAGAAAGGAATGGGAAAGGAAGGAAGGAAGGAGGGAAGGAAGGGAAAGGAAAGAAGGAAGGAAGATGAAGGAAGGAAGGGGAAGGGAAGGGAGGAAGGGAATGGAAGGAAGGAAAGAGGGAAGGAAGGGAAAGGAAGGAAGGAAGGGAAAGGAAGGAAGGAAGAGAAAGGAAGGAAGGGGAAGGGAAGGGAGGAAGGGAGGGAATGGAAGGAAGGAAAGAGGGAAGGAAGGGAAAGGAAGGAAGGAAGGGAAAGGAAGGAAGGAAGGGAAAGGAAGGAAGGAAGAGGAAGGAAGGAAGGAAGGAAGGAAGGAAAGAGGGAAAGAAGGGAAAGGAAGGAAGGGAGAGAGGGAGGAAGGAAGGGGAAAGAAAGGAAAGAGGAAAGGAAGGAAGGGGGAAGGAAGGAAGGAAGGGAAAGGAAGGGAGGAAGGGGAAAGGAAGGGAAGGGAGAGGTTATTCCTTCAATATTAATCTGACTTTTTCAATTACATTATATTTGCACTGATTTACAGTTGTACGCCTTCCCAAGTAGAACAGAGAAAAAACACAACCCAATGAGCTACCTGGACAGGTAGTCCTCGATTTACAACAGTTCATTTAATGACCATTCAAAGGGTGGTGCGGTGGCCTGGGGGGGGGAGCTCTCGCCTCCCAATCAGGAGGTCTATGAGTTCGATCCCAGGTAGAGGCCAGATATTTCTCTCTCTCTCTGGGCACGATGAGAATGTTATCTGCCGAATCTAACTCTGCATTGGAGACAGGAAGGGCATCCGGCCAGTAAACACTCAGCTCCATCCAGTTGCCCAGATTCCACCCCACAAGGAATTATGGAGTCGTTAAAAGAAGATGATGATTTAATGACCAAAGTTACAACAGCTTATAGGAAGAAAAACTGTTGTTGACTTTTAGGGATGTCACCAAAAGGAACATCCAAAGTCCTGTTTGGGTGTGTGGTAATCATGGCTTGGTTCCAGGAAACTTTTTCCAAAGTTAAAATTGTACATTATTTAGGACTTAAGAGGGAAAACTGGAAGAATATATCAGAGGAAAAGGGACTGAAAATATTTTTGTAAAAGAGGGACGTAGCTTACCTCTGTACCAGTTCCTAAGAGACGTCATGACGAAGAAACGGATGGCTTGGTTCGATCCTTGTTTGAGGACCGTGGCGGTTAAACCTTGGTAAGTTCCTTTCAACCCTACAAGACAAGAGACGAGAGAAGCCGAAGGCAGAAGACTTAAGAGGGAAACTCCAGCATTGTAAAACAAAATTATTTCCTGGTCAAAAAACACAAACACACCTAAGTTTCATTTCTTCCTAAGCTGAGACCAGGAATATCAAAGAAAAGGAACATTTACATCAGCTTTGCCAAACTGGATATATTTCCAACTGGCCACACTACGGCTTGTAACAGCTCCGACAGCATCACAAACATCTCCAAAACAGCAGAAATTAATAAGAATTAATAAGAGTTTTAACAAATCCAGGTGGTGTCCAATGGAATATTAACGTACATGGCGTTCAGAATTTTCTACCATATAAAGGTAAAGGTTTCTCTCGCACACATGTGCTAGTCGTTCCCGACTCTAGGGGGACACTGCTCATCTCAGTTTCAAAGCCGAAGAGCCAGCGCTGTCCGAAGACGTCTCCGTAGTCATCTGGCCAGCATGACTCAACGCTCCCGAAGGCGTACGGAACACCGTTCCCTTCCCACCAAAGGTGGTTCCTATTTTTCTACTTGCATTTTTATGTGCTTTCGAACTGCTAGGTTGGCAGGAGCTGGGACACATCACGGGAACTCACTCCATTATGCAGTGCTAGGGATTCGAACACCCGAACTGCCGACCTTTCTGATCGACAAGCTCAGCGTCTTAACAGCTGAGCCCTTTTCCTAACATATAAGAGGCCCATAAGTCATCATGAGTGACTCTGCCTTTTCTCGTCAGATTGACCTAAGATGGACGATCATTTCACCTATTCTCCAAACTCTCGATTAAATCAACGTGTCATCGACAACAAGGAGTCCCCGCCTTACAACAATTCGTTTTGCGACCATTTGAAGTGGCGATCCCCGCTTCTCACCTTGGTGCCGAATGATCTCCCGCACGCCGTGGAAAAACCCTCGGTATTTTGGGTTGGGAGAACATTGGTCATGGATGAACTTCACCTGCAGAAGAAGGGCAGAAGATAACCATGAGTGCTACTGCAGAGAAGGATGCGAAATGGTTCTTGGCGAGGGGTGGGTTTCAAAAAATTTTTAGAACCCCTTTTGTAGGTGTGGCCTCTTTGTGGGAGTGGCTTGCTGGCCATGTGACAGTGGGAGTAGCTTGCAGGCCATGTGACCGAGTGGGAGTGGCTTGGCAGTCATGTTACTTGGTGGGCATGGCCAACTTGTAAAATGTGATGAAACTCACTTAACAACGCTTTTACGTAGCAACCAAAATGTTGCCTCAGAAATTGGCATTTGAAGCATGCAAGTCTTAAAGCTGTCAAGTTACAAGACCCTTGCACCCTTAACCCTTTAGAAAAAAAAAACCTAGGGGTGTTCAAACTTGATAGCTTTAAGACTTGTGGACTTGTTTGTTTGTTTATTGGATTTATATGCCGCCCTTCTCCCAAGGACTCAGGGAGGCGTACAACATTAAAAAAAAACACATATTACAAAAGTTAAAAAAAAAATTAGATAGAGTATCCAAAAAAAAAAACCAATTAAGATTAACAATAACATTTTAAAAAATTCGATTAAAATTAACAATAATCAATNTTTTGAGTGTTTAAACTCGGCGACCCCTGCTCTAGGGAGAAGATATATAGAAATCCTTCCTGGTTTCCTGGCATTAGGGTTATGTGAATGTGTCCAAGGAGAAGGCCTACATGGAGAATGTTTTCTCCTGCTCTGGAAAGACTTGTCCAGTGTTGGGCTGATGCCGGTTTGGACCAGTTTCGGCAAGCCGGTAGTTGCGACCTGCGAGATATAGGATATAGGAGCAATCCCGTCTATATCGCTGTGTTTTTGATGCCGCACGCACGCATGGAAGGCGCACACAAGTAAATTGCCATGTTGTGCAGAAGGCGTGCGTGTGAGCAAACCGGTTGTTACAGTATGTGACGCCCGCCTCTGGACCTGTCTAAGCCAGAATGTCCCAGGAGCTCAAAAGGGGGTGGACTTGATCATGAAGAACGGCAAGTTGGCCAAAGAAAACCATGGAAAGGGATGATTTTTGGAATGTATTCAGTGTTTTGGTTACTACTACTTGAACTTCCGCAAGTGAATGAAGACCAGTTTTCCATCAGAGGAGCAGAGTTCCAAAGAAAGATATGGACCGCATCTCCTTTGGGTGGAGATATTTTTCATTGAATCTTCTGTTAAATCTCGGGACTTGTCTTCCCTAACCTAATGCCCCCAAAAGCGTGTTGGCCACAAAACCCAGGAATCCTAACAGATCCAGCCATTGGTTCTAACGGACCTGGGAAGCAACAGGTGGGGGGGGGGGAATCATTCAGACCCCCTGATGCATCGCCTTAAAACAGCTTGACATTTCTTTTCTAGGGAAGATCTCATGTTCCACCTCTGTCTTTCCAGGGGTGGGCTCCTGGGAGTTTGCAGGGATTCGGGAGAACCTATAGCTAAGATCCTGTGCACTTCGGAGAATCCCCAAATCCCACATGTGGCTGGCCCCACCCATCCCACGTCCGCTCCTCCCAGGAGTCCCCATGCGGCCCGTTTTGGTAAGTGCAGGGCGCGTGCAGACGCTAGGGGAGGGCGAAAAACTGGCCTACCAGAAGTTTGGGAAAGCTGGAAATGGGCCCATTCCCACCCTCCAGAGACTGGGGAGGCCATTTTCACCCTCCCGGAGGCTCAAAGGAAGCTTCTGGAGCCCGGGAAGTGTAAAACACCCCCCCCCCAACCCGCTGGCCGTGGTGCAGGAGGTCGACTAGGCCACACCCACCCAGCAACCGGGCAGAGAACCCCTGGCTGAATTTTTTGAAGCCCACCCCTGATTTTTCCAAAGTGCTCTTTGGTGCAAAAGCGTCGGAATAAAAATGGCACTAGAAAAACAAATCAGCACCTACAAACACACAAATACACACCCACCCAGCCATCCCAGTTATCTGCACCAGCCTCAATCTGTTGTGGGTTTTTTGGGGGGGGGGGCAAAGGAAGGGGAGTGTCTAGAACCTGTCTTCCGTGAGTGAACAAGTGAGAAAGCCAATCAGAATGCGTGTTTTCAAGAGCACCAAAGAAAACCACTCTACCCCACCACCCACCCACCCACCCACCGGTCGTCCGTTGGGCCTCCACCGGAAGAAAACGATTTGATGGCGACCTGTGAATTCATTTCCCGCGACCCCTTGGTGATGACCCCTTCCAGTTGCCTCGCGCCGTAGACCATGACAGTGAAACCTACAGAGAGTTAAGATCCATCCATCTGCCGTTCGTTCCGATAAATAAGTATCGTCACAGGTGACAAGTGATTTTTTGGGGGGGGGACGGGACACACACACTGGAATCGTGTCCTCTGGCCGAGAGGACCTTTGGCACCGCTCCCAGGGAGAAGAAGAAAGAATGAAGAAGCACACACCACCCTTCCAAATGTCTTCTGCAGTTGGTCACCCCTTTGTCCCAGCTGTTGCCCGATGGGGTGGGGCACAGGACCCACCCCGCCCTCGCGGCGGCGAGCTCCTCAGTCCGTTTTCCACACTTTGTTGAGGGCTTTGACCACTTCATCGTAGATGATGAATACAATGGCTACATCTAAGCAGACCCTTCCCAGGCGAGGAATGGTTCCCTTGTAAAACCTAGAGAGGAAGATATATCAAGCATGAAGAACACATGAAGAGGCAGGTGGATCGTTGATTTGCTCACCCCTTTGGGGGGGAGGAGCAGGGGGCGGGGTATAGCCCCCCCCGGTCAACCCCCCTTCTTATCTTTCAAAGCCACGCCAAACTCACGCTAGAGGTCCTTCGTATTTCATAATTTGGTAGGCGCAATTGAAGGTGCTCTTGTACTTGTGCGCTTCAAGGCCCTGTGGAGAGCAAGACGGGAGAATAAAAGGGGAGGTGGGATTAGCAACGGCGGGGAGACGGTGGACCCTGCACAACCGAACAGCTTGCCTCACTTGGGCTCAAGCTGGTCACGCTCGTTTCACTTCTGCTTCTGGTTTAAATTGAATGAGGAACATAACTTCAAATCCCTCTGTTAACCATCTGCTATTATATTCCCGCGCGCAGAAAGTCCATAAACGGTTTCCAGTCTCTTATAAAGCTGTCTAGTCCATTCTGTTCTAATCAAATCAGTTCATTTCACCATCTCTTCTAATTCAGTCAATGTCAAAATCCATACTTCCAACAGTTCTTTTTTCTTTCCAGTGCTTGGCAATGACCTTCCTCGCAACCCACACACCATCTTCATTTGAGGACTATCTCAACTCGACCCATTGTTTCTGGCACAGCTTCTAAGCATGGTTAGGAGGTAACTTGTTCTGACCTGGGCTTCCCAAGAGCCTGAAGCAAACTCCTGGTCCTGACAAAAAAGCCCTTTTATGAATTGACCGTGAATTCTGCTCATTCACATCCAGCAAAGTCTTTCGAGGGAGGATTTACAGTCACAGACCTTATCTGGCTTGGAGAGCTGCCAGGCCAAGATCTGCAAAACTTGGCAAGGAGTCTCCAAGAGTCACAAACCAATTAAGCAAACTCATGGTCTCCTGCAAACTCCATTCCCCCTTCGCTCCTCTTTTNCTCCTCCTCCTCCTCCTCCCACTCCCTTCCAGCATTGATGATGTTACCTAGTTGGGTCACAAAATGTCTGTAAGAAAATAAGTAAACTCAGAGAGCACCAAGGACCACACAGTCCTTCTCCTCCTCCTCCCACTCCCTTCCAGCATTGATGTTGTTACCTAGTTGGGTCACAAAACGTCTGTAAGAAAATAAGCAGAGAGCACCAAGGACCACAGAGTCCTTCTCCTCCTCCTCCTCCCACTCCCTTCCAGCATTGATGATGTTACCTAGTTGGGTCACAAAACGCCTGCAAGAAAATAAGCAAGCTCAGAGAGCACCAAGGACCCCACAGTCCTTCTCCTCCTCCTCTCCATAAATCCCACTCCCTTCCAGCACTGATTATGTTACCAAGTTGGATCATGAAACGTCGACAAGACGACCATCTTAAGTGAATCAATGCAGTGTCCTTGACAACTGCATTGATTCACTTAACATCTACGGCAACAAAATTCGTAAAATGGAACAACGCTCACTTAATGCCTATCTTGCTTAACAATGGGAATGTTGGGCTCGATGGTGATGGTAAATCCAGGGCTATCTGTGCTTTCCCTATTACATTCAGCTTTTTTTGAAATAAGACTAGGCCCTTCAGGTTCACTGATATTTAAATCCAGCCAATTTCCAATTCTGCATTTAGAATAGAATAGAATAACAGAGTTGGAAGGGACATAAGAGGTCTTCTAGTCCAACCCGCTGCCTAGACAGGAAGCCCTTCATTACTTTAGACAAATGGCTATCCAACATCTTCTTAAAGACTTCCAGTGTTGGGACATTCACAACTTCTGGAGGCAAGTTGTTCCACTGATCAATTGTTCTAATAGTTCTAAGTTGCTTCTCTCCTTGATTAGTTTCCCACCATTGCTTCTTGTTCTGCCCTCAGGTGCTTTGAAGAATAGCTTGACTCCCTATTTGTGGCAACCCCTGAGATATTGGAACACTGCTATCATGTTTCCCCTAGTCCT